AAAAAATTAATAAAAAAATAAAAAAATAAAAAATAAATAAATAAAAAAGACTTCTGCAAATGCAGCTTCTCTCACAGCAGTGGAACACCCATCTCTGACAAAACAAAACAAAAAAAGGGGAATATAAATAAAGGACCATTTTGTGGTATTTGTCTTATACTCTAACAATTACTTTGAAAATAATAATATACAGTATAGTATCTAACATTACTGTTTGATTATGCAATTTTGCTTTATAATTTCATAAAATAAATTTGAAATGTACTAACAGGCATCCATCCCTGAATGTCAGCACTGGTAAGAACTTGTAGGTAAGAGTCTAGGTCTCTGGACGGGAGCTTGATCATCAGTTCTGTTAGTTCTAGGACACTAGAACTCCCTGCTGTCATCGGAATGTCCTATATCTGGCCATCCAGTACAGTGGCTGCTGGTCTTAGATTGCTTTTGGGTCCTTACTGTTCATGGTTGTCACAACTAAAGAACTAAAGCTTTTATTTGGTTCTATTTTAAATTATTTAAACTTAAGCCTTTGAAGCCACACATGATAAGTGGTTACCACATTGCACAGGCAGAGTTCACAAACTTCATTTTTTAAACACATGCAGACAGCAACTGTTGGAGAACAGTAGCCATGGCCCTCTGCTATCCCGTGGCCATGGGCCTCAATAAAGGCCACAAGGTGACTAAGAATGTGAGCAAACCAAGGCATAGCTGCCTTTGCAGACGCATCACCAAACACACCACGTTCCTGCTGGACATGATCCGGAAGGTGTGCGGCTTCACCCCTTACAAGCAGCACACCATGGAGCTGTTCAAGGTCTCCAAGGACAAACACGCCCTTGAGTTCATCAAGGAAAGGGTGGGGATGCACATTCACACCCCGAGGAAGCATGAGGAGCTGAGCAACATGCTGGCTGCCATGAGGAAGGCAGCTGCCAAGAAGGACTGAGCCCCTCCGGGATAAAGCTTTGCAGAAAGTTAAAAAAAAAAAAAAAGCAGACTTCCTCTGAATAGATATAGATATAGATATATAGATATAGATATAGTTATAGATGTAGATGTAGATATATAGATATATAGATATATAGATATACAGATATACAGATATACAGATATACAGATATACAGATATACAGATATATAGATATATAGATATATAGATATATATCAGGGTCTACAGGGTCTCACTACACAGATCAGACTCGTAGTGATCCTCCTGTTTTCAGTCTCCCAAGCACTAGGATTACAGGCATGTGGCACCACGCCCAATCTCAGTTGCTATCTCAGCACACCTCAGGGGTGGGGCCAGAACAGCACTCTGGAGATGGAACCCCGGTCCCTGAGTTTGTCTAAGCAGGCACTTTAATCTGCTGA